CACACAAATTGTATTCATTTAAATACTGCCTTGCCCATTAGTTTCAGCCTCTTATTGGCTAACTCTCATCACTTGCTTAACCCATTTCTCTTAATATGTGTAGCACCACGAGGTGGTGGCTTACCGGGGAAAGATTCTGCATGTCTGGATCCATGGCGTCTGACCCAGAGAGGAGAGGCATGGTGATTGCCTCATTTCCCTCTTCCTCCCACCATTTTGTTCTGTCTACTCCACCCACATAAGGGCTGGCCTATCAAATGGCTAAGGAAATTTCTTTATTAACCAATGAAATCAACAGATAGACAAATGACCCTTCTCCATCAGGTGAAAGGGTTAAGGTGACCAGAATGGGGGAAACTCACCAATTGAATCTAGTGGTATGTGTAGAAATTATGCTGTAGAAATCATGCTCAGGCATATAGAACACGTGATTTTTGTGGAAAGAATACTGGTTCCGGATCCCGACCCCTGGGGGAGGGATTTGGGGCCAAAGAGCCTCCTAAGTCTCACGGCACAAATGTAATGATAAATATAAAAATGTTGAAGATCCCTGAGTATCTGCGGTGGCAGAAATGCCACAGGTCCCCAAGTGGCAGCAGTGGGCAATTGGTCTTGAGAGCAGCCATTCTCAGGCAGGGATGGCATAGTTTCTCCAATGGCTGCAGTGGAACATCAGTCCCAGGAAGGGAGCAAGCCATGTGGTTGGTGAAAGGCCTCAATGAAGCAGCAAGTCTCATAAAAAGAGACAGTCAGATGGGCGTGCAATGAGCGATGCCATAGGTCTGCGAAGGCACCTGGTCCCAGGTAGGGAGCCATGCAACAGGTGAGAGACAGAGACATGAATTGGCATGCCATGCAGGATGAGGTTTGATATTTATTTAGTAGGTTATAAAAGGGAAAGTGTAGAAGGAGAGAAGAGCAGAGATAGAGAGAGGCAGAGAGATGGATAGGTATGTTGGTAGATAGATAGAGACAGATAGATAGATAGATAGATAGATAGATAGATAGATAGATAGAGACAGAAGGAGAAGGGGAGAAGTAGAGAGAGACAGAAGCTGCCTCATTGGCAGGAAGATGGAAAAGAGACTTGGACTGCAAGCAGTAAGGAAGGTATATGTGCCTCAGTGAATGGGGAAGGGATTAGGTGGGACTTGTCTCTAAAAGGGACAGGACAAACATACAGATTTCTAAGTAAATAAATACAAAAATCATCTATATGTGCTATATAAGTGAAAACTCAAATTTTACCGTGTTAATCAATTATAACAGAACATTTGAGAAACTTTTTACCTAGTATATCTTGGGCAATTTATATGATTAGTAAAATGATTAGTAGTACATGCCATTATTGAGTCCTTAAGTTCTTTTAGATATGTTGAGTTTATAAGCAAGTGTGGTTTTTTTTCATATTTCAGCATGTATGAAAGCAGAAAGTGGGAGTGGGATAATCTTGTTCTTATTCTCAGTGCAGTTTCATCAATACTGGATTTCTTGTGGTTCTATACAAATTTTAGAAAAATGTTGATCATTGCAAGAAAAGAATGGCACATAAGGAGGTCTGTATGCTACTGTATGTAATCTCTATATTGCCTGTGAATATTGTGGTTATAATACTGTTGAAACTACTTGTCTAGGAATTTATACCTTGCTAAACCTTATGTAAATGTTACTGATCATATAAAAATGATTTTCTGGCCGGGCGGTGGTGGCGCACGCCTTTAATCCCAGCACTCGGGAGGCAGAGGCAGGCGGATCTCTGTGAGTTCGAGACCAGCCTGGTCTACAAGAGCTAGTTCCAGGACAGGCTCCAAAACCACAGAGAAACCCTGTCTCGAAAAAAAAACAAAAAAAAAAAAAAAAAAAAAAAAAAAAAAAAAAAAAAAAAAAAAAAAATGATTTTCTGTTTAAGTGTACATGTATCACAGTTTTCCAATATTTATGCCTAAACACTTTCCTGTTTATTTTATGATCATGATATTGGGTCTCACAAGCTTGCTCATGATAATCTCAGACTCAGGCGTGGGTGAAGTGCTTCGCCCTAATTTCTGACAAGGTTTCACTAAAGACACACTGACCACACCTAGCTTGTGATACAGTAAGTCTAGTTTTATTTTTCCCTTTCCTTTACAAATACTAATTTCTTGCTTGTATCATTCAATTAAATTTCTTAGCTATTCATGTAGTACTATGTTTGATGGATATATTTATAAGTCCAAATACTTTGTATATGTCTTACTATTTCTGTAAATCGTACATCCCATTCATTTTAATTAGACATAGTTTATGTTCCTTACTATAGAAACAAATACTATTCATTTTTTTCCAGTAATTTTCCTGAAGATAATGTCCAGTAAATGTTCTGTGAAGTGGTATCCACTTGTAGCTGTTTCTTTCTAAAATTTGGGGACATACTGAACCTTTGAGGATTGTAGTAGGAATTACTTCCATTCACCTATGTAAAATTCAAGTTCAATGCATGACCTGATTTGTAGAATATTTTCTTCTTCTTCTTTGATTTATCTTTCATAATAAATAGAAAGATTTCATACATTTATATGAGTTTTAGTCATTTTCATCCCAATTCTCCTGTCCTGTTCTACTTCTCCACTAAAACTGTATTTCTTAACTCACTCTCCTATATGCTACTCTTTTATATTTAAAATACAAGAATTTAATAAAAACATGTGTATTTTCATATTTTCCACATCACTATCTCTCAAACTCTTACTGTGTAGTCCACAGCCCACTCTCAAATCATTACCTCCTAATTCATTATTTTTATTATGTATTACACACAAATCTATATATACAAATAGTAATGTGTAAATATAACCAGTTCATTTTTAGTTCTAAAATTTTCTGTGGATATAACAACCAAATGATAATGCTGTTGGATATTATATCATTTTATGAATGTGGTGGTAATGGCCTCTAAGTTACATGGACTCAACAACAATGTAATGTTTGTGATTTGCAATATTTAATGTGCTTTACATCTTTTGAAGGAAGACTTGAGCTCAATTAGGTAGATATTAGTTATTGATGAGATTTATGAGAAAGTATTGTACCTTTAGTGAAATCTAGCCATGCTGGTCATTATCATTCAAAGTTATTATAACTGAATTGGACATTTCAAGGCTTTTCATTTCCTTGACAGCTTTCCTATATACTTCCTGGTCTCTGATAGCTATTCTACAGGCCCAGGGATTTATGTAGTTCCTGTTCAAATTTTTATAGTTCCCTAACAAAAATTCAGTGTTTCAGCAACAGGGACTTAACTTCCACTTCTTGGAAGCAACCAAGGTCACCACAAACAGACTATTATCTTGTTAGTATCCTGGGCTCCCTTACCAACAGTTTGAATGGAGGATTTTTTTTTGTCTGGTTTTGATGTTTTTCTTAGGTAGTCATTGTCCCTGTTGTGCAGATTATCTTCCAAAATGTGTTCAATTTCTGATTATCTGTATACAGAATTGATATGTATTAAATAATTTTGAAAAAATATAAAATATTTATTTATTATTTTGACCATCCTTGTAGTTTCTCCTTATTGTTTTGTAATTTTACCTCTTGAATCTTAATAGAACTACTCTGCAGAAATGACAAGTCACGGTATTATGTATGTCTTCCTTATATTGTTTAAATAGAGTTGTGGAATATTTTATACTTTCTGATCAATTAACTTATCCAATATAATGTTTAAAAATACTTGAATCTCTTGAATAACCTATCTCTTTTAATAAGGTATGTCAGGACCTGTTTCGGATTGTGACTTTTTATTTCATTTTTGTCTATTATTAAATGGTAGTTGCTATTTTATTTGTTATTGCTTTATTATTATTTATGATGCATAAAAGACATCATACTGGTAAACTGAAGTAGCAGAGTGAGCAGTTTTAAGAGATGGGTGGTGATATACACATGGGGCTTGTATGCACACTGCCTTTTCTTATTCAGGGTCTTCTCCCAACACCTTAACTAATAGGCAATTGTTGATGCTGCAAAATCCCTATTTGTGTCACCAGGCCTGTTTGAGTATATAATTCATTATACAAAATACATAGTTTTCTTTATTACAATATTTTTCAGACATTTCTGCCTCCAAATTACAAATTATTTTATTAATGTGACAATTAATTCATAATAAATTGCTGTCTTTGCTAGGTTTTCATATCTAGATATGTATTGGTATATGAAAATTTCAATGTACTTTTTGTGTTGTTGAGTAAAGAGCTCAGTTTTCATATTTAATCCACTTGTCCCAAGAGTTTACAAAATTACTGTTTCATCTGCAAATATTAGAAGTTTTTGAAATCCAGTGATATTACACCTACACACACACACACACACACACACACACACACACACACACTTGCATTTAATCCCATTATGATACCAGAATTGATCTACCAGTCTAACAGACTGGTGAACTCTAGAATAGAATGCAGGCTATTTCTCAATGAAAATAAGCTGGAATTGGATGGAGGAGGAACTCCGAAGTTGACCTTGTCTTCATAAAACTGTTCACATATTGCAGAATCCTTACACATACATATAAATAAACACAAATGTATTTAAGTGTTCATTTGGTGCACCTGATTTCATTTCACTAATATATATTTAACTATATACCAAATCCAAATGACCTCATGATAAATAATTTGTCCTAACTTTTGAAATATGAGTGAAAACTTTAGTTCCCAGTCTTTATTCTTCTATCTGAATATGTGTCAATCTTGGCTATCTTATGGAAGTTCCTTATGAAGTTAAAATGACTATAAGTATAGATCACAAAGTAATATATCTTCACTGTGTATGGGATACTTTTAGCCTCTGGATAGCTTTAAAAATTATTGACTTCTAAAGTCAATGTATTGCTATGTTTTAAATATAAATGCATGTTACTAATAATCAGAAATACATGGTTATGACTTTAAGTATACTAAGATCTATTTATTCATATTTTCTCCTTTAACATATATTGTTTATTTCTCATACAGCATCTGACCGAGCTGTTCAGAAAGGTTCCAGTTCAAGCAGTAATGCCATCTTTCCTCTCTACATTCCAAAACCTGACAATGGAAGAGAACCCATCCCTAAGTTTATGGTATTGTAAAACCATTTACCTCCTGTTTTCATTCGGGATTGTTGATTACTCATGTAAATAATTAGATTGAAGTCTGTCTTTTTTATTTTGTGATTTGCAGGTTGTTCGACTTAAGTATATTCTTTAGATTGCTGAGTACATTTCTTTACACAAAGTTATTCCCTCTTTTTGAAAAATAGTAAAAATCTTGTTTTACTTGAGGACCACACAGTTGAGAAAAAGAAATGTGTAGTATTTATTTCTGACACAAACTGTTATGAGTAAATCTTCCAGGACAATGTGAGATGGAGATGGCAAGTGTTAATATTCAACATGCAGAAGTGCTATCCTGTAGCGATCTGCATATTTGATGCTTCCAAACACATATATCATGTTTTCTACGTGATAGAAGGTTTTATTTTGTTTATTATCACATATTCTTTCCAGTTTATTGTCATTAGGGATGTAGATGTTTAATTTTCTTCCCTTTAACTGTTTTAACTCTTTTATTTTACAATATACTCCAAGGTAAGAAAAGTAGCTCAAACTTTTCACAGAATTACCAGTATTTATGAGGCCAATTATCCTGAGTAGTCAGGAAATTAAACAGAGCAACTATTAGATGATCTTAGATGGGGATACTGACTAGATGAGCCTTCATTACTCTCTTCAAACTTGATCAATAGACAAGTTTTATTTTGTGGGATGATGAATAATATAGGTGAGGGTTTTTGCAATCAGTACACTTGGTTTTTTATGGATAATAAAGTTCCATATCTGGTATTTAATATGAGATATTCTGGTAGTGAAAAAAATGGGGAAAATGTTGTCAAGAAGAAAATTGGTAAAAATCCTGGAAATTATGGAATTTAATTTATAGGTTACTAGAACTGTCAGGATTGGTTGTTTGCATTAACATTTTCATGATTTAATCGATTTATAAAAGGAACCTAAATGTCTATGAAATTCTTGCTCTCTTTTTCTCTCTCTTCCACCTTGATACTGCACTAAAATAACATCACAATACTTTTAATGTAGATTTTATTCAGTGGGATCACCTTTCATATGTACATATATTCCTGAGATGTTAACTCAATATATTAAAACTGAAAAATAGTGTAGTTTTTTTGTTTATCCAACATACCAAATCCAGCTCAGTGATTGTCCTGATCAGAAACATAACTCCTGCCCTTAGAACTCATTTTCTCTTTTCTTCTTTCATATCACACCTTCATTTTACCACTGGTTAAAATAAAGTACATGAACAGGAAGACACTAGCATTTTAACAGATTTCAGCCATTACCAATTTAGAACTTGTTCCACACTAATGGGAAAATCTGGTGTATGGAACAAATATAGAACATGTACATTTAGTTACCAATATTGCAAAGAAGTATGGTCATTTCTTATTTGAGCTGGAAAAATACAGACTGAAACACTAGAAAGGACTGCCAGAGAATGCTGCACATATTGTTCACACCTGTTGGACCATTGTTGCTCAGTCATTTCATTGGCTCAGCCCCAAAGTAATCACACAGAAACCATTATTTAAATCCCTGCTTGGCCCATTAGCTCTAGCTTCTTATTGGCTAATTATTGCATCTTAATTTATCCCATTTCAATTAATCTGTGTTATGCCTCAGGTCTGTGGCTTTTTGGGAAATGTTCCAGTGTCTGTGTTCAGTGGGGCTACATAACTTCACTATGACTATGCCCTTCTTTCACTTACTTTAGTTTTCCCGGCTTAGCTGTTTCTGTCCTGCTCCTCTATAGGTTCAAAACAGTACTTTATTAACCAATGATATTAACAGCATAAAGAGAGTAATCTCAATTCACCTCCCCATCTATGTTTAAATAATTATAGTTATAATATGTATATCTACTTTACCTTTTATCATAACTATGAAAAACTATAACTATATATCTATTTCTGAACTTCATCAAAGACTCCAGAAGGTTATAATATTACTTAAGTAATCAGGAAGTGCATTGTAAACAACTTCCAAAACTGTAGAATTGACAGAGACATCTTGATACCTGAACAATTACCCAAAGCTCTTCTGTACATTTAGAGCATCCATCTTCAGTGTTAAGGCCCACGGTATCCAGCAGACTTCTCCATTATATAGGACATTTCAAAGATAATTATGCTTATAATGGCAGTTTGTCAGTAACTTTTTTCTGTGCCCTGAAGAATGTCTTGTAGACTCTTTTATTTTGCCTAAAAGATCATTTCACATTTAGGCAAGTTCAACAGTCATTTTCTGTGGGTCCTGCATGTGCAGTTCACTTAGCATGCCATCAAGCAGTCAAAGCAAGAGCAGTTTCTTTCCCAGATGGCTAGCAAACTCTATAAGGAGCCTTTTTGATGCCCATCGTCCTCTTGAAGTAGCCAGGAGCAGATGTGTCTCACTGTCAGAAAATGTCCCAATTATTAAAACACTTTAAATGCCATATTCTGAAGAACTCTGAAAGAATTGAAGAAACCCTATCCATCTGAAATACATATCTGTAAATCTACAAAATCTTACATGACTATAAACTTGAATATTGTAGCTGACTCTCTATTTACATATAGTTCTTAATTATACAATACATTTTTTTCAATGAGAGCAAATATATATATATTTGAAAAAATGTAATATATATTACATATATGTATATAATTGACCTTAAATTTGTACCAATAATCCAAGGTTTAAACCATTACAAATCACTATAGAATATCCCTTTAAATGTGAACAAATTCTTGTAAACAATATTTGGGAATATGTGTGCAATTCTCTAGACTAATTTCTGCTGAATGAGAGTGCTGTTAACTAGGTATTTAATGGTATATCATGTGTGTTAGGTTCTGCTATGGGACATTGGTCTATACCCTGTCAATTTTAATAAATTTGGATTGGTCAGTACCTAGGGAGGAAATATAGGTGGGACATACAGGCAGGAAATAAGTTAGGGCAACAAGAGCAGGAGGATATTGGGAAGAAGAAAGCTTAGTCTGCAGCCTTTACCCATCCACAAAGAAGCAAGATGTGAGTGTCTTGCTGAAAAAGGACTAAATGGCTATGGGACCTTGTTAGAACAGATAACTCAGACAACAGAATCATGCCAACATGAACAACTGCATCCTCATAAGCCTGAGAGAGCTTGGAAAGTAATTCTAGTCAGAAAAGAATAGAGTTAAGCACAATTTATTGATAACAGCATTTTCTCAGGTGGGCTCTGCTTGCTAGAGCCAAGCACTCTCATTTAAGAAGGGCTTACTGACCCAGTGTTAGGTGTAAAAACTTGCAGCTCTTTTAAAAGGTCCTACCATGTAAAGCTTAAATGGTGTTGATGAAAAGTTTACCACATGCTTTTTTGTTGGTGGCAGGGATCTTGGAATACCATAGAGTGGTGGCAATAAACATGGCTTTGGCGGGTACCTCTGCTGTGAGGCTGGAATCTCAGAAAGCAAAGGAATGGGCTGGATCCAGCCATCAAACTCTCGGTTTTAATCCTAGCCATATCAATTAGCAAATTAAAGGCTCATGTGTTCAGAAAAAGAGAGATATACAGTAAAGACAGACTCAAATGAAGAAAACCTCTAAATGGTTTAGAGTATGTTTAAAAATATATGTTGGCTTGGGAGATGATAGAAAAAAAGGTTAAAGTCCATAAAAGAAAAATGAAAAAAAGAGAATAGTTGGGTGTGATGACACCAACCTTTAATTCCAACACTTGGAAGACAGAATCCGGCAGACCTCTATGAATTCAAAGGTATGTTGGCACACACCTTTAATCCCAGCACTTGGTAGGCAGAGTCAGGCAGAGTTCTGTAAGTTCAAAGATAGCCTGGTTTACAGTGTGTGTTCCAGGACAGCCAAAAATACACAGAGAAATCCTGTCTCAAAAAGGCAAAAATTAAAAATAGAAGAAATATAGGTTAAAATAAAGCCACACAAAGAGAAGATTACATAGAAAGCCTGGATACTGTATGTTCTTATGTTCTCTTTGGATTGTTTGAATGCTGAGGAAGGAGCGACAGATACCAAAAGTTATTTGTTTATAAATGCTGCTGAATTAATCTAAGATAGGTATTTTGTCAATACCTTGACTTAGATTTTCTTCCTTCCCTCAATTCTTCTCTCTTCTTTCAATAAACCAAGATCCATACCAATGCAAATCTCTAGAGCATATCCCCCTTTATATATAAGCATACATTTATCAACAATATTTGATAATTTGAGTGTCATTCTCTTCAATATGCTCCATGTTTTTTGTTTGGCAAAGTAATATTTGGGGGTGTCCATGTTGACCTTTTGGGGGATCTTTGTCCATCAAATTACAATAGTCTGGAAGATTAAATAAGTTTTCATCTTCTCTGGAAACAAAAGAAAAAACTTCTTTTCCAAAGGAACATATCCTTAGACCAAACTTTTGAAGACAAGTTATCTTTAAAGTATATATGTTGTTTACTTAGCTCCGTCACAAGCCAAAACATGCAAAGAAAACACAATAATATGCATAATGCAGACTCTCGTATACAGTCTTATAGCAATAGGAAGGGAGTGACATAGAAAAAGCAAAAGATACAACTTGAGACCCGCTTTTGATAAAGGTAAATAGAAAATCCATTAGCTGGAAAGCAGACATTAACCTTCATTGTATTTAGCTGTCTGAGAAAATGATCATTTGATGGAGGAAGGTCATTGGTTAATTAAATAAAGAAACTGCTTGCCCTGATAGGTTAGAACATAGATGGGTGGAGTAAACACAATAGAATGCTGGGAGGAAGAGGAAGTGAGCTCAGAGACACCATGCTCCCCTCTCCCGGGCAGACGCAATAGCTCTGTTCTCTGAGGCAGACACATGAAGCTCAGACCCAGGATGGACCTAGGCTAGAATCTTTCCTGGTAAGACTGATGCTACACAGATTATAAGAGATGGGTTGATCAGGATATGAGACTTAGCCTGTAAGGGCTAGAGTTAATGGGCCAAGCAGTGTTTAAAAGAATACAGTGTCTGTGTAATTATT